CACTCTCTCTCTCTCTCTCTCTCTCTCTCTCTCACACACACACACACACACACACACACACACACACACACACGCACAATCAATCAATCAATCAATCAATCAATCAATCAATCGATCAATCAAAATTTTTTTATTTTTATTTTTTTTGAAATTTTGCATCTGCTTTTTATTTTTGAACACCTCATTTCCCTGCCAAAAAACAGATTCATTATAAAAAAAAACACAGGTCGACTCGGGGACCATATATCTCATGATAAAAAATGGCAAAAAAAAAATCTTGCTTTTCTTTATATATATATTTTTAATTTTGTTTAAATCGATTTTAGTTTTCGATTTTTAAAAAATTCTAAACAAAGTCGGATTTCAAAAAAAAAAATATAGGGGTGTAGGGTTTTCAAAGCCCTGCAACCCCATATATATATATATATATATACCCCTCGTTTGTTGTCCTCTTCTCCCTCTCTGCCTACGGTTTACCGGGCAGTTCTATTTGACGATATATATATATATATTTACGTATTTTTAGGGGGGGGGGAAATAATTAAAAAACTAGGCCGCGGACTGGGCCTCATAGGCCGCGGCTGCGGCCGAGAATCTCGGCCGCAGCGGCCGAAATGCCCGCGGCCTAGGCCGCGGGTGTCACATAGCCCTAGGCTTCATTCGCCACCCTCAGAGACCATCCCATTATGTGGTTTGCGACACACTCCTCATGTGACATATGGTTGTCTTGTTGTTGCTTTGTTGCTTTCAAGCTGAGGCTACTGCCTCTAACATTTCTAGAATTTAGTTGTTTCTGCTTTTGTTGTTCTTAGGACTTATATAGTAGTCAGCTGTTTCCAGACTGAGGCTACTGCCTTCAGCATTCTAGGATTTAGTTGTCATTACTTTCTGCTTTTCTAGAACATGTATGCTAGTTAGTTGCTTCTGCCTTCACTTAGGCTGTTAGCTGTGACATTGCTGTTTTTGTGACATTTTTTATCCTAGGTTGCATCGCATGGACTCAACATGGAGCTTGCTCCGCATCCTAGACTACTTGGGTTTTTCTATTTCTTTGGTAGAGTTCCGCTTCTTGGTGGAAGAGTGCTTGTATCTAGGCGATCTATCACAAACCGAGGATAGTGTAGCGGACCTCTGGTTGGCCTGTGAGACCAGCCCCTTGGCCTGTTCTCACAGGCCTGTGTTGTATTCGGGGAAGTCCAGTCCAGGCCGGTACCTCTGTCAGTACCAGCCAGTCCAGTCCAGTCAGTCCGCTGTGGTATACCCCAGCTGTTGTCTGTTTTTGAGGTCATTCTACATTCACACATCTGGGAGTACGTGCGTTGGAGTCCAGCGTGGGAGCTGCGCTGTGCCATCTCGCTCCCCCTTCATCCTCCATCTCCATCTTTGTCCCAGGCGGAGCACCACACCTGGTGGGTCCGCCACAGAAACCAACTACTAGTGAATTGCCTGGGGCCGGTCAGCTCAATGATAATATCTCAAGGCCGTCCCCCTTTCATAAAAAAAAAAAAAAAAAAGAGAGAAATAAATATGGCCCTGTATCTTTCCATGTTCTAGTGGAAGATACAATATAATATTCTCATTTTGCACATTTCGTGAGTAGCGCAGCCAGGCCCAATACCATGACCTCTTTAGGTTGTACTCACACTACCATCTTTCCCCGAACACAAGGCACCCTCATTTTGGCTGTATCTGGCCGGAAATATAGCTTGTATACATTCATTTTTAGGGTGCTTTATATTCAGGGGAAGACGGTACCTCTGATCGAATTTTCGGCCAGACCGCAATTACGTCCAGAGAAGTAAAATTGTCCCACCCGTCTTCACCCGAATAGAACGGCCGGTCATTATAGCTGTATTTGGCACAAATTTCGGCGTTAACTCAATCTTCATCAGAGTTAACTTGACTGCTAGAGTCAGTATTAACTCAGTGATAATTCATTTTTCATCCGAGTTTAACTAGACTGCTAGAGTCAGTGTTAACTTAGTGTTAATTCATTTTTCATCCGAGTTAACTCTACTGCTAGAGTCAGTGTTAACTCAGTGTTAACTCAGTCTTCGTCAGAGTTAACTAGACTGCTAGAGTCATTAACTCAGTGTTAACTCAGCTTTTCATCGGATTTAACTCCACTGCTAGAGTCAGTGTTAACTCAGCGTTAACTCAGCAATCTTCGTCAGAGTTAACTCGTCTGCTAGAGTTCTCGTCGTCAGTGTTAACTCGATTGTCAGCGCCTTCGCTACCTTCTTCCCCCGAACACTACGTACGGTCATTATAGCTGTATCTAGACTCAAAGATGCCTCAAATACAAGCTATAATGACCCTATGTTGTATTCGAGGGAAGAACCAGGTTGTACTGACTGGACTGCTATGTTAGTAGTCGGAACATCTCTACCAGTAATGTGCGATCTTTTTTTTCTTTTTTTTTATACAGGAAGTAATGTGTGATCTTCACTCCATGAAGGTGCACTGAAGTGATTCCCAATACCAATGGGCCTCGCTCCACTACTCTCGACGTGCACAAAAGAACAAAATCATGGCGGTGTATCTGTCCATGTTCTAGCGGGAGATTCACTCTCGTTTTGCACATTTCGAGAGTAGCGGAGTGAGAAGTCGGGCATCACCGCAGTACTCACCAAATATGTGAAATGGCGCGTGTATCCTCCGCTAGAATGTGGAAAGATACGTCCGCCATGTTTTTGTCTTTTTCACATTTGGTGCGTGTCGCGGCGCGGGAACTCGACTTCTTCCACCTCAACTCTTCTTCGATCTGAACTCGACTCTCGACTCTCGACTCCTTCAGTGTCAGTTTCCTGAAGCCCTACTTCGTGGAGGGTGAGCAGGCAGCTGCCATGGGACAGACAAGTAGGGGCAAATCACCTCTCTCGTCCCCGTCTCTCTCCTTTATCCCTATCGTCATCGTTCCTCCTCGCTCGTTCATCTCCACTTGACTCTTCTCACGGCACGGTGGACTTCGCCTTGTCTACTTCCCTTCTCCGCCCCTAACTACCTACCTAGTCGCCCTTCTCTTGATCTCTGTCTTCCTTACCGACCACCTCTCTCTCTCTCTCTCTCTCTCTCTCTCTCTCTCTCTCTCTCTCTCTCTCTCTCTCTCTCTCTCTCTCTCTCTCTCTCTCACACACACANCACACACACACACACACACACACACACACAAATATATATATTTATACACACACAGATGGCTCTCTTGCTAATTGCTTGGCTGATCAGACAGCCAAGGCCAGACCTGAACGGTGTCATCTTATCGGGACTGGTTGTAAACTTTGTCCATTGCTCGTTTCAATGAGCACGCGTGACGTTAGACCAAGAGCACGTACTACCTTCTTCCCCCGAATACAACGTACGGTCATTATAGCTGTATTGAGGGTATTTTTCAGTCTAAATATACAGCTATAATGACCATACGTTGTATTCGGGGGAAGACGGTAGGTTGTAGGTTCTAATTGGAGGCAGCAGCCATAAGGTCTTCTTTTTCGAAGAGAAAGAAAGAGCAGTCCAAGAGCGCCGGGGGAGGGTGCGCATGTCTGCCCTGCCTCCATTTCCGACGCCGTCAATCACAGAGCTACGGTACCCCGTGCAGTTGCACTGGTCGCATGGTCGAAGCCAGCGGACAATCCGTCCTTTCGGTGGCTGGGAGGGGAGGGGGGGAGGAGGAGGAGGGGAGGAGGGCGGGGAAAGCCCAGAATTGCGCCCCGAGAGCGTACAACTGTTAGCAGTGTAGCACCCTTCTTCTTCTTCTTCTTCTTCTTCTTCTTCTTCTTCGTCTTCTTCTTCTACTTCATAACATAGCCTAAACCGAAACAGCCAGCCTCGCATAGCTAAAATCACTCCTCCTCCTCCTCCTCCTCCTCCTCTTCCTCCCCCTCCCGCTGCTGTCATTCTTCTTCTTCTTTCTGTCTGTCTTTCTTCTTCTTCTTCTYCTTCTTCTTCTTTCTTTCTTTCTTTCCTCCTTCTCCTCCTCCTCCTCCTCCTCCTCCTTCTTCTTCTTCTTCTTCTTCTTCTTCTTCTTCTTCTTCTTCTTCTTCCTCCTCCTCCCCTTTCCCTTTTTCTTCTACGTCTGCTGCAGCAGCAGTGCCGCTGCAGGGAAAGAGAAAAGGCATTGAGATGGAAATTGCTGAGCGTAGCGACGACTTGAATCCTGTGTCTACTAACATCCCCGTAGATGGAGGTGCGGCTGGGACGTCTTCTTCTTCTTCCGCACCGAGCGATCAACGACCATTTACTGGTCGTAAGGTCATACTGTCTCCGCTATCTGACAAGACTTTTTTTCCTACGGAGAAGAAAGATCCGAGGGGGGAAGGGGAAGAAAAAGGGGAGCATGGGGCGGCTGCTGATAACATGCTGACTTCGCTGACACTTCCCAGTGGATCATCCGACGGACAAGATGTCTTGATCGAAGACATAGAAAATGACGATTCACTGAACTTGAGAAAACAACCTCAAGCGTCGACGCCATTGGCGCGCAGTGAGGTGAAGGCGGGCGCGGTGAGCATCAGTAAACAGCCTCCAGCTTCAACGCCAATGGCGCGCAGTGAGGGAGCGCCTGCGGCTACCAGAGGGCAGGGGAATGCCGACAAGGAGGTGAAGGGGAGGGAGGAGGTGAAGGGGAGGGAGGAGGAGGAGGCGGAGGTGGAGGAGGAGGAAAAGAAGAGAGAGGAGAGGAGGGGGGACCAAAAGAGGGAGAGGGAGTTGCCTGCTGCCGGCAGAGGGCAGGGGAATGCCGAGGAGGTGGAGCTGGCAGAGGGAGAGAAGAGAGAGGAGGAGAAGGAGGACAAGAAGAGAGACGCTGTGCAGGGCAATGCCGAGGGGGAGGCGGGAGTGGGGGAGGAAAAGAGGGCCACGGAGAAGCGGAGGGAGGAAAAGAAAGGGCATGAAGAAGAAGAGTCGAAGGACATTTCCAAGAAGGACAAGAAGAAGATGGGCGAACACAAGAACGGGGCCGAGTTGCTGGCCAAAAGTTTGCAGGTGAAGTTGAAGAGTATGGCGGCAGATTCATCTGCTCAACTGAGGAGTCTCTACTCCTTGGATTCCGCGTCTCCACCATCGGCAACAATGAAGAGGGCAAGCTTGGGAGAAGAAGAAGACAAGAAAAAGAAGCAATCAAACCTGAAGGGGAAAGCACGAGAACCCCTTGTGGATTCGAACACACAATCTCTGTCTCTGCAGAGAATGGAGGGGATGAACAGCTCTAGCGTGGCGAGAGCAGCAACAACCCAGCCGGCGGAGCCCCAGGAGTTGGAAAACTACTTAGCTCAGATGAAGGCTATCAGTCCTTATCTTCCCAGATTGCTGAAGGAGAAAGCGAATCAAGAGAAAGGTGCGTGGCGGTGTTTTTTTTTTTTTTTTTTTTTTTTTTT